AGACACAACCTGGAAGAAAAAGCCCCCCCTAAAACAGCTACTTTCATATAAACAGTGAATTAAACGAAAGAAAAATTCTTTCGAAACACATACTTTTATATGAACACTGAATTATACAAAAACACTTTTCTTTACTGAGTTTGTATTCCAATGGAATTATATCAGATATCATTTACAGGATTTCTACACAATATACTGAATGAATGGTAAAATTTTACTGTCATCCTTACTGGTAGACATCGATGTTTCTCCATAAGACACTTGTCCTAAGGCTCTTCAGTACCAAATTGGATAATATTATAAGAAAAACCACACAATTTATTCATAAATTACAATTTTTCATGTCACGGACTAAGTTTGATCTGCTTATGTCATCGATGACATCGTAATGACATTCATTCACTTATTTGATTAATTTCCTGCCAGAAGGAATCTTGTTTACATTGAAAGGATTATATTTTTAGGAGTAAGTAAATTTTGGTGAAATTTTTGTCTGTCTACTACTCCATCTTGATACAAAAGAAAAAGTGGAGGGCTTTTTCTTCCAGTTTGTGTCTGAAAGTTACTTCTTTGCATGATCTACACATCTATGTATAGAGTTACTACTTTTAAAATTGATTGCTTGTATCAAGATAGAGTAGTAGAAAGCCAAAAACTTTCTTTCCCAAAAATCTTACTTCTGTTCGAAAAGAACGACAAAGAAAAAATTATGAATACTTCCCCTTGATAACAGATAATAAAAAATATATGCATCAACTAAGAGATGAGGCACTAAAAAAATTCAAGATCACCAAACGAATCCGTCACTGGGACTACTACAAACAATTGGGAAATTATACTAGGTACTCTCGCAATAAAGTATGAAGAAAAAGAATTTTTGGAATTAAAATTAAAAAATTGTTCGTCAAAGGAAAAATGGACTGAACTTAAAAAACCAAACATCTGTTACTTTACGTGGCAACTTTGCTTGAAATCTATTGATTTTCATTCATTATTTATTGTATATTTCTCAATTGTTGCTTGTATTTTATTTTATTGTAATTTCATTCCAGGAATTTTTTGCTTGATATAGCTATGATACAGCTATTTATTTTAATTTTTTTTATCCTTTCAAATCTTTCATATCATATTAAACAATGGAAGTCCAAACTGATGAAATTCACTATAAAACATCGTCAACCATCTTCAAACAAACGTATTAATGAACACCAATCAAGCAGATCTGTGTCAACTTGCTGAATACGACACACTTTTTTTTGGCCATGTTTCGCGGGTGTTTTGCACTTTAGTGATTGACACAAAATTGACCATCTCACGATGAAAATGATGGAAATGAATGAGAGCCAGAAATATCCTATACCACAATACAATAGATAAACAGTGGTCAACTTCTCTGATCGGACACTGTTAGAAGACGAGTGCGGCATACTCGCCGAAGATGAAAACTTTGCTGTAGCTTCAGCCTACTTACCCTACAAGGATATTATTGTCAATGTCGAATCAGTTATTCGTACTTTACCTGTACCTGCTGAAGAAATCCGCAAAGAAACATCGAAGATTCTCATGCACGCATCGTCAACCACCTTCAAACAAACGAAAATTTATTGATTCTAAAAAATTAAAGAAATTACATCAATGGCTACTTCTCGTTCGAATGTGATTTACACGTATCAGCTCTAATAGTATTGATCGAGTCAATATCACATCTTTACACTTTTGCTGCCCGACTGTAATGCCTTATATAACACATATGAAAAATGAATGTATTTTAAAGTCTTATTTTCCCTCTGCCTAGAAAATGGCCAACATAGTTCCTTTGCCGAAGGTGAACTAACTAAAAGACTTCAATCATCTCAGATCTCTCATTATTCATCCTGCTTTGTATAAAGTACCAGAAAAATTATAGGAATACAAATACGAATCTTTGTCGAACAGTTTAAAATTCTACGTCGAAAGCAATCGGGGTTCAGACCTGGATACAGTTGTGTGAGTGCACTTGCAAATATTACAGATGACATTATTGAAGGTATTGATGAAAATAAATCAACTGTAGTCATCCTATTGGACTTTTCGAAAGCATTCGATTTGATAATTCACAGAATTTTCGTATCTTAACTTTACCACTTAAATTTTGACCAAAATACTTGAAAGCTTATTACTTCATACTTATTAAATAAAGTTTATTGTATAAGTTTGAAAATGTCCTTAGAGGACGAAACTGCAGTAACGTTAGTTAGAAATAAAAGTTGTAAAAAACATAAAAAGTTTAATTTATCTTTTCTTAATTATTGAATAGACTTTAACGTGTTACTTCGAATGATGAGACTTCTAATTTTGCTTATGTATCATGCGGTGTTCCTCAGGGTGGTATTTTGGGTTCACTTTTGTTCACCTTTTTCTCTGCAATATTCCATGAGGCTCGACGATATAAATATATTCACTTCATTGAAATCCTCAAAAATCTCAACATCCAACAGACTGATGTCCTTATGAGTTTCGACGTAGGTCTTTATTCACTAATATTCCCGTATGGGACACATTGAACATTCTCAAAACGAAACACCAAATTTCCAAAAGCAACCTCAACCTCATCAGTTATTGTATATCCAGCACATACTTTGTCTTTCAAGATGCTTTCTACAAACAAATAAAGGGCGCCCCCATTGGTTCTCCTCTTTCACCAGTCCTTGCAAACCTTTTCATGGAAGATTTCGCAACCAAGGCTATTGGCAGGTTTGACCACAAACCCTTTTGCTGGTTCAGATATGTAGATGACGTTTTTGTCATATGGCCCCACGGCTCCGAAACTCTCCATAATTTCCTTTATCACCTCAACGACTTCCACCCAAATATAAAATTCACAATGGAAATTGCAACCAATAAATCCCTTCCATTCCTAGATGTCCTCATCACAAAATCCAATAACTCCTTCACCCACACGGTCTATAGGAAACCAACACACACAAACAGATACCTCAACGCAAACTCCCACCATCTTCCAGCACAAACCAACTCCGTTTCGAATTATCTCATCCATAGATCTATCAACCTCACGGACCACCACAACAGACCACAAGAGCTAGCCCAACTCAAATCAGCTCTCCTTCAAAATGGATTCACAGACCATCAAATTGACAGATCCATCCGTCGTCAACAAACTTCTTCGTCCATTTCCAAAAATCCAAAAGACAACAACGTTTCCCAAAAAGCTTTCCTTCCCTACATTAAAGGTATAACTGACAAAATTAGCCGAATTCTCAAAAAACAGGACATAAAAACGATATTCACCGATAAACGATATTCAAATTTCCACATTCCTTCATTCTCCCAAGGACAAAATTATCAATGAAACCCAGGGTATATATGAAATTCCATGCTCCGATTGCGATAGAACATATGTAGGCCAGACCAACAGACGTGTGACAAGTAGAGTATACAAATATCAACTTGCTGTCCAAAAGTCAGACCCATCCTCAGCCTCCTCAACATCATCAAGAGACAGGATACAACATAGACTTTGCGAACACTAAGACCATCGCCACAGCGAAAACACTCCAAGCTCGAATAATCCGCGAGGCCATCGAAATCGAAAAGCGACCTTTCTGCCTGAACAAACGTGATGACGGTCAAAGACTTCCAACTGCCTGGAAACCCTTAATTTCCCGATGCTCACCCCCCACCAAGACGTCCAGTGACGGTAATCACCCGAAACCCCGCCCCCACCATTTCGCATCAGTAGCTTCCGTCGATATAAATACCACCGAACAGCCATCGACACCTCAGTTCAATCTGAGGAGTAGGCAGATGGAGATTTATTTTTGGCATAAAAAGCAGGTAGAGAATTTCCCATGAAATTAAAGAAGTTGAATGGTATACCCTTTGCTACTTTTACAAACTTTTGAAATACAAGCATCCTAACTATCTCCATGATAAAGTAATATATACAAAGGATATACATGATATAAATACTCGATAAACTTTTTATCACCATTCCTCGACATGGAAAGGAAATTTTGAAAAGAAGTTACATGAATACGTTCAAGATAACAGTAGGTCGTGTTTTTCTTTGAAAAAATCCATGACTGAATATTTGCGTGAAGTGAAAAAATGAAAAATAATTAAAAATATCTCCCAAGTCGGGGAAAAAAATTTAATTATCACAGCGTCGTCATGCAGTATAGTAGTTTCATGACCTAAAGGAGTCACTGCCCTCGTAAAGTGAAACTGATATATAGAATGGTTTTCTTTCTTCTCTTTCTCTCTCTCTTTTCTTTCTTTCTCTCGCTTTTCTCTAGCGTTCTCGTTCTTCTAGTGTTTGAGTGGAACAAACACCAGTTTCTCTTTTCTTGGTGTTGGAAGAAAACTGAACTCTCACCTTTTATTTGCCTAGTTCTTCAGAATTGATACTAAAGATTGTTATTATTACCACTTTTATTTGTAACTATCGTTACTGCAGTTTTGTCCTATTTGGACATTTTCAGTTTCATTGTGTTTAAAAATGTCCATATAGGACGAAACTGCAGTAACTATTGTTACAAATAAAAGTGGTAAAAACATAGAAAGTTTCATTTCTCATTTAATATTCAAATTGTGATCGCAGTAACATGCGACACAACTGTTACCTTAGTTTCTATTGGATGTTTTATGATTAATTCTGACATCGTGTTTTGTGGTACTGCTTTTGAGTTGTTTCAACTAAGTGTATTGCCACCACTGTAAATAAATTTGATCCGGGTAAATTCATAATCTTAAACTTCAATTTTTGAAATATTTATGTTACTGTGATCGAAATTTAAATATTGAATACTTGTATATTGACTGAAATAATTATTTGAAAAATGAAGTGTTAACCATATAATAATTGTCATACATTACTGAATGCTTTTGTGCATATATGTCATAAACTCTCTACCATCTGCAAAAAACCTCATGGAAATTTTTTCTGTTAATAGTAATATTTTTTGAACCACAGTTTCTTGGTTTTATACAAGAAAACAATATTATCGCTAGAGAAGATATATTCAAAATCATTATACGATATAACATATGTTTACTTTGGGATTTCTGATTCGCTTTTCCTCACGTGGATTTGGTAGTAATTTTTTTGAATCTTATCCGAGAGCCAATTTTTGACAAAAGCACATAAGTCGATATGGATTCCATTGGAGCTGGATCACATGTTTGTATTTCATATTCGGAAAGTATGTAGCACAGTGCCATTTTTGTGACTAGTAAAGCGAACCTTTCGCCTAAAACAGAAAAAGATTGTTTTCGAATGAATCATATACAAGATGAACCAGTGAAAACTAAACATTCCAATGGCGTATAGTTTGTGTGTAGAAATAAAAAGTTGAAAATCTCTCAGACCCATAAAATTTCGTTTATATTTTCAACTTTGTTATTTCCACCCCCTCAGCGGACTGTGATCTAACCGTAATCTTGATTGGGATGAGGGGTTAAACGATAACTCCATTCAAAGTCTCTTTTATTGTTTTGCAATTTTTTTTTTAATTGTTGCAGAGGATATCGTGAAAGAAAGTTATGAATTGATGATACTTCGGAACTCCCAGTTCTGAAGTGCCCCAAAGCTCAAATTTAGGACCTCTTTTGTTCTTGATTTTCATTAATGATTCAACTAAAAAAATGTACAATTTTAAACTGCCCTACGCCGATGACTTTAAAATATTCAAAGTGATAGAAAATTATGGAGACTGCTTAGACTTATAGTATGAATCAGATGTGATATATGATTGGTGTTCCAATAATCGTTTGAATCTTAACATGTATGTATTGTTGTCATGTATTGTCCTTTTCCAGAAAAAAAAAATTTGATACAATTATGAAATTGATAACATAACCATAAGTCGAGTTGATGAAATGAAAGACCTTGGCATTCATTTTGATGAAAATTCGTGTGATGAAATTTTTGAGGTAAAGGGGGAAAGATAATGAAAAACTTTAACATAACTTCACATCTGAAATTAAAGCCCAAAAAAAACATTCGTGAACTACCATCAGACATCACTGTTTCGACCCGCTATCAGTGAGTAAAAACAATGCTGTCTGTTGCTTTGTTTTTTGGTATCGGGTTTCAACTAGTTGGATAAATCTCGTTCGGTGGTCGACGTGGAAGCTTGAATTTATGATTAATTGTCTTGGAGAGTCTTGTTCATCTTTGATTTTCGAAGATTGAATCTTCTGTCGATTCCATAGATGGCATCTCACCACGTGGGGATTTCATTGCCTTCTGATAAGTTGACATTGTTCAAAGCTGTTTTGGGCAATCTGAATCATTCCAAGTGTAATGTTTCGATATTTATCAATTATTTGTGGGAGATAATGGTTCAAACTTTTACTGACCATACAAAATTGAATCTAAGGCACGTGTATGGAGTGTCCTTGTGGAGAATTCCATTGGTCCTTTTCGACCGAACCTTTCACCAGAAAAGGTTTCATTCAAAAAAAAACAACAAAGGTTTATTGGGGAGGTGCCTCATCTTGTGGATATATCAAATCATTTTCATTATACTGGTTAGTTGACCTATCAACGGGAAATTGACAGTGCCTTGAAAGAGTTGTAAGTCCATGAGATTTTCTGGTAGGAAAAAAGGACCAACAAAACAGTCATCATAAAGTCCGGCTCACATGTTGAGCTTCTCAGAACGTTGTGTGTGTTCAGAAATAAAAGGTGTTAAACAAAAAATCTGGTGAATTATTACTAGTTGAATAAGATTGCAGACGACTGTCAGTCATGTTATAATTCAATTCATGCGGAAAATAAATTTGAATGAATTGATGGATGTAGCCGTTACTACGTGGTATGAAATCATAAAGAAGAAAAGAGAAATGAAACTTTCTATGTTTTTTACCACTTTTATTTGTAACTAACGTTACTGCAGTTTCGTCCTACGGATATTTTCTAATTTCATTGTATAAGTTTGAAAATGTCCATATAGAACAAAACTGCAGTAACGTTAGTTACAAATAAAAGTGGTGAAAAACATAGAAAGTTTCATTTTTTTTTTCTTCAAAATAAATTTGATTTGATTTTCTGGCAGTTAACTTACAATCAATACTGACGTGGCTCTGAACAATAACTTCTTTAGTTTCGTTTCAAACTATTTAATTTTGTGGGTTTTTCATTTATTCGCCACTGATGCTGTCTCTGTAAGTTTGGTCCCGAAGTGAGTAATATATAAAGTACAATTTAACAGTTGAGTCAATTATTGTTCATGAAATAATAAGCCGAGATAGTCACGATCATTTCCACTTTCAACAGTTAGTATATTTCATATTACAAGTATTGAATTTCAGAGACTAAATAGCTAAAATGGCTATGTAAATAATGTCTCGATCAAAATTGTGGATTGCCTCTTCCTGTAGTACTATAATTTTTCATTGTATCTTTCTGAATATCTCAGTAATAGATATCCTAACAGTCCTCTAATACAATCTTCTATACAAAATTCAAGTTTATCCTTGAAAATGAAATTGTATGCCAATATTCTTTCATTTGTTAATTGCTTGTACCTGAATTCTATATTGTATCAATTTTGAAATTATTTTCCTTGATATCTCCGTAATAGGTATCCTAACAATCCTCTAAAACAATCCTCTATCCAAAATTTAAGACTAATCTTGAAAATGAAATTGTATGCCAATATTCTTCCATTTGTTGAGCAGTATACGAGTATGTGAATATTTTCTAAAGAGTTATCATCGATATTTTCCATTCTTACACAATTATCTGAAAGAACCGATTATTGTTTGAGAAAGTACCATTAATGAGGATTGGTTTTCAGGAAACTGAGCAACTCACCCAGATATTTCAGCATTCTATAGCTTGCATTCATCGAGGTGACTGACAAAAACGTTCATAGGTCACAGTACTAAGTTATTGGGAAGGCTCCACCTTTAAAACGAAGAAAAATTGATAAGAATTCACTTACCTATGCAATTTCGTGGTCCAGCACCAAAGGGCAAGTAACATAGTCCATTCTCATTGGAATAAATATTCAAAAATCGGTCTGGATTGTATTTCGTAGGCTCAGGAAAGTATTTCTTATCCATTTGTACACTATATGAGGGAAGCAAAACAGACATTCCTTTCTCAATTACTACGTTGGTTCCTGGTACTTTATAGTCTTCATTGCACGTTCTGCTCAAGAAAGGAATTATTGGGTACTTGCGGAGAACTTCTGAAAACCAAATGAGCGTGATAATGGTGTTTTGGCAATGTCAAACAGTCAATAAAATTCTTTGACAGAACGATGTTGATATCCTGCGTAATTGAATTCTGAACTGGAATAGGACTGGTTAATTTTTCTGTACTGATAGAATATACAATACGTTATCAATTGTTGGCGAATTTTCGAAAAAAGGCTCTAGATAATACTCACCAGTCACACACATTCTTAGATATTTCATGTTTTGAATTGCCTCGTATGTAATACCTCTATTTTCATCGATGCTGATTAGAATTTCCTTCCTCAGTTTATTCTGGATGTCAGGATTGAGGCTCAACTCGTGCAAAGTGACGGCAATTGTGGTACTAGTTGTTTCGTATCCAGCCAGAAAAAATTGGAAGAGCTGACCAGTAATTTTTTCAGTCGCTGAAATGAAAACGTCACTCGCTTTTCAATAATAGTTCATTGAGTTGTGTGTGAAACAATAATAATGTATGATAACGGATTAGGAGTTTCCTGGGATAACACTTTATTTACAGGGATTTTCATAACTTCTCTATCGTACTACCAGATCCATAGGTCATTATCAATTATTTTGTCCGAAAGTTTTTCATCTATTTTTCTATACCATACACCATACAACGATCTCCCACAGACCAGAAACTGCCAATTGAAGGAATGCTTCTGCTTCTGGTCAATACTATTAGTTACTCTTGAAGAGAAAGTATAGTCGACTTTTCCAAGATTCGATAATGTGAAAACATGTGACCTTTCATCATCATTTCCTACGATTTAGATTAGGTTAGATCTGAACCCGCAAGGGTTTATTGTGGCTCACACCTATTTACACTCGGCCAAAAAACTCCAGCTTCTTAACGATGCCGATTAGGTTTGTATAATGAGTGATCTATCAGGTCAGATGGTGAGAATACGGCTCTGCCGAACTGATTAGGTCCCTACCGGGGCAGGCACATAGTATATGCTTTGCTGTCTTTCGACAGTCCAAGTCTCTGCATATAATGATTCAAATAACAGTGACCTGTAAGAAGACATGTTAACATCGTAGTTCATCCCTACTGTAGTCCAACAACTATCAACAACAACTATCAAGCTTCGAAGGGAGAATAAACGCCTTGGAATGAGTCATTACTGGAAGAATCTTGTAACGTTTTCGTTTTCACTCACTCGTTTTCAGGAACTGCAAACGATAGTAATATATTCACCAACTAGTTTTCCTAAACCACCCAATCTGATAAAAACGTATCAACCTTCCTCCCATGTACACATGTACACATGTACAGTGTCCACGCCCATGTGAATAATCACAAGTGTTGTATATAATTATTGGAATAATATTGAGCTGACTCGTTCAACGTTCATTTTGAAAGCCGTATATTGGTAAATTGTCAAGGAACAGCTATATACTCGCAAATGATATTCTGTGTTGACAAATTCACCTTTCCGCATTCCATCTCTCTTTTATTCTAATAAACTGTCAGACTTCGTTTATTCCCGATAGTCTTTAGTGTGTGAACTCTATGAAGATTCCACAAATTTGACAGAATTATTTCTGAAAACGAGAAGAGTCGACAAGGTGAATTCAGATAGGGAGTACCGATTCCTTTTAATTAGAAGCGAATCGTGATATACTTATACTGATAATGGTCAATGCCCGCGAGAATATGATTAATACGATCAATATGACCAAAACGACCAACACGACCAATATATAAACAATCCAAATATCTCAGGATACAAGGATTTTCTTTCACTTCCAACATAACATCACCCTCCAGATTTCAGTCAATCCCAAGACATAACATCGGACATTCAAACCCAAATCCAATCGATAAACCTAGAAGATTATCACTCCGATCTGAACTTCCCGGAACAACGCTTCATTTAAGTTCACTTCACTCCATGAATTCAAAAAATTTATACTATATCAAAGACCTTTCAAATGCCTTTTAATTTTGATAGATACTGGTGCAAAAATTTCGATATTCAAACCAAAAACTTGTGAAAAATACCTTCACCGATTCCCAGAAAATGTAATAGTCCAGGGAATCACGGACCAAAAAATTTTAATCACTGAATCGACCCTGATCAATTTCAAAGATAATGATAGCCACAAAGTCTATGTTCACAACCTTGATATTGAATTCGATGGTTTATTAGGATCCGATTTTCTGGAACATTATAATTGTATTATTGATCTCAAAAACAAACAATCAATTACAAATTTCAAAACAGTTTCTTTATTCGAAGTTATAGATAATGAAGTAACTGAGAATTCGAAACCAAACCAAATTTCAATTGAACACAGAACAGAAAGAATATTCATACTCAAAAGTAACTTTGAAAATACCGACGCTATACTGTTAGCGCAAGAAAAAGAGAAAGTCAGAATACCAAACGTAAAAATCGACAAAAATGGTGAATTTTTGACATCCATCATAAATGCCAACGCAATCCCCAAAACAATCGATTTTTCAGACCTAATTCTTGAACCAATAACAGACTTTGAATCAATTTTGAACTTTAACACCTCTCACGATGATTTAGAACAAATTGACAGAACTCAAGAGATAAAAAACCAACTCAGACTTCACCATTTAAACCATGAAGAAAAACAAATGATAACCGAATTATGCCTATTTGCATATGCATATATTTGCATATTTTATCTTGAAGGCGACGATCTCACCTTCACAAATGAAATTAAATACACAAAACTAACAATGCGAGACCCGTGTTTACAAAATCTTAGAGATACCCTCAAATTCACAAAGAAGAAGTCAAAACCCAAATTACCAAAATGCTTAATCAAGGTATCATTCAACATTCAAAATCCCCATGGTCATCCCTGTTTGGGTAGTACCGAAAAAGCTAGATGCTTCAGGAAAACACAAATGGCGTGTTGTGATTGACTATCGAAAACTGAACGAACTGTCAGTAGCCGATAAATATCCGTTACCCAACATTTCCGACCTGCTAGATCAGCTTGGAAAATGTCAGTATTTTACCACCCTCTCTCTTTTTACGCAAGATCGACCCAAAAGACATTCCAAAAACAGCTTTCTCTGTTGAGAACGGTCACTATAAATTTGTCCGTATGCCTTTTGGATTAAAGAACGCACCATCCACATTCCAAAGAGTGATGGATAACATCCTCCTTGGCATCCAAAACGAGCGCTGTCTTGTATATATGGATGATATCATTATATACTCACCAACGATCCATGAACATATTTCAAGACTGACGGAAGTGTTCAAAAGACTAAGGAAAGCTAACTTGAAAATTCAGCCTGACAAATGCGAATTTTTGAGGAAAGAAGTCGCTTATCTTGGACACGTAATCACGAAAAACGGCGTTAAACCAAACCCCTCCAAAGTTGAATACATCCAAGAATTCCCCCAACCAAAAAACCCAAAAGAAATCGAATCCTTTTTAGGCTTAGCTGGTTATTATCGACGCTTCATACCAAATTTTGCCAAAATTTCCAAACCACTCACAAAATAATAACAAAAAGAAAACCCATTTAAATTCGACTCAGAATGTTTGAAATAATTCAACGAATTAAAATTAGCCCTTACTTCTAGTTCAATTTTGATTTATCCCAACTTCGAAGAACCTTTCCTCTTAACGACAGATGCTAGCGCATTTGCAGTAGGAGCTGTTCTTTCACAAGGACTGATAGGAAAAGACCTTCCCATAGCATATGCCTCCAGAACACTATGCAACGCTGAATCAAAGTACTCTACGATTGACAGAGAACTTTTAGCGATTGTATGGACTGTGAAACACTTTCGACCATACCTGTTCGGAAGAAAGTTCAAACTCATCACTGACCATAGACCCCTCACTTGGCTTTTTTCAATAAAAGACCCAGGTATTAGGCTAGCACGTTGTAGACTCAAATTAGAAGAGTACGACTACGAAATAGAATACCTGGCAGAATAAACAAAAATGCCGACGCCCTATCACGGATCAAAATTAATCACTTCAGAGAATGTGTAAATTTTCACGGAAAACTTACGATACTCGCTTCAAACGAAATTGATGAAAGGAACAAACTAACTGACACCGAAACACAAGACACAGCAACACGAGACACAGAAACACAAAACAAAGAAACACCAGAACACGAAGAAACCCCTTTCTAACAAATTCTACAAGAATACGAAAATTTCAGTCACTTATATGAAACTCGATCCCTGATTGACTACTCAAAAATCAAATTTGACAATTCGCAACTTTTAGACAAATCACATAAATACATCCTCACCTTTTTCTGCCGAAATAAATTAGAAGATCTTCATCATAAAATCATAGATGACATATTCGAGGAAAATGCCGAATTTTACAACGATAGAATCAATATTCTTTCAAGTAAAACCGTCAAAAACAGATAATATTTCATAATTGCTTTACCCTTCGATCATACCTCAGCAGTAGAAATTCTCTTCTTTATCCTTTATAAATGGATAGATGAAATAGACACTTCCAAAACGTACTTTGTCGAAAATAATTTAGAATTACCAATTTTGGAAATTCTTTCTTTCATTTCGCTGAAAAAGAAATTAAGATAACAGTATGCCAAAATCTAACAAGAACTCCCGACGAAGACCAAATTCCCATCGTAATGGACCAATGCCATTCTGGAAAAAACAATTTACATCGAGGAATTAACGAAACGGTTAGACGCGTGAAAGAAAAATATAATTGACCAAATTTAATCAAAGACGTAGAAAATTTTGTAAATAACTGTGAAACTTGCAAAAAAGCAAAAATTTGCAGACAAAACCTTTAAAGCCCTCTAGTCATTACAGAAACTCCGAAAACACCATTCGAGAGAATAAACATTGACATTCTTGAAATTCCCACAAAAAACTATATACTTGCAATTCGAGACGAACTCACCAAATTCACCCAAGCTTACCCAATTGAAAATAAATCAACAAAATCAGTAGTGAACACTTTACTGCTATACTTTCAGCACTACGGAACTCCACTCAGCATTCATTGTGACTTCGCTCGAGAATTCAACAACGCCCTACTGAAAGACCTTCGTACACTTTATGACATTAAACAATCATTTTCTAGTGTGAACCATCCGCAATCAAACCAAATAAGACCTTATGAAAAAACACAGTGGTGCCCTTATTGTATCTTTATTTTATGTAACAGAATCGCAGTAATCACTTCCACTTCCATATGCCGCCGACGAACAGCTGCCGGAGCTACTTTGCAATGTTTTTTCTTTTGTAAAAAGACAAAACAGGGAAAAGGAACAACATTCTTCCAGAAATCCATAAATCTTCTTGCCATCCAGGTGTTCAAAGTTTGTTTGGCAAAGCCTTAAGCGATGCCGATAATTTCATACGATTCACAGAGCTCATAAATAGAATGAGAGGAGGTCTTT